CCCGCCTCCGCTCCTGCCCCGCCCTCTCCGCTCTCCGGCAGGGGCCGAGGGACCGAGGGGCCGAGGGGCCGAGGGGCCGAGGAGCCGAGGAGCCGAGGAGCCGAGGAGCCGAGGAGCCGAGGAGCCGAGGGACCCACGCGGCGGCTCTGCGCGTGCGCACCGCCTGCGCTCACGGGACTTGTAGTTCCCCACCGGTCCCGAGCCGCGCCGCGAATTGTAGCCGCAAGGGTCGCTGCGCCAGCACCGCAACCCTCCACAGGCCAAGTCCCGACCGCGGCGGTCCAGGACAGACAGCAGGCCGACGGGAGTTGTAGTTCACAGCCTCTACGGGGGCGGGAGCCTGCTGTCTCCTTGGTTACCGAACAACGACGCCAGAGGCGTTAGGCCTCACTCCTGACCTCCGCAGGGTGCCCGTGCCTCACCTGTAGCCCGAACTGCGAAAAGCTGAGAGGACCCAGTCGTCCTCTTGACTCCTACGGTAGTTTTAGAGAAATGGACATCCCCAAATTTCTTACATCTTGCACCTGACGGAGGATTGCAACCGAGGGCTGCTGAGCCACCTCGACTCACGGCGACTCACAGACCAATGCCGTACTTCAAGGTCGTGGCCCGGCGTAGTGGTGCATGCCTGCAATCCCAGCATGCGGGAGGCTGAGGCAGGAGGAGTTCAAGGTCAGTTTGGGCTAGCCAGTAAATTCAAGCCCAGGCTAAATTACAGTGTGAGACCCTGTCGGATGTGAGCGCGCGCGCGCACGCACACACACACACACACACACACACACACACACGAAAAGTCTTCAGTGATAGAATGTAATATAGTAACTGCATAGCCAGTAAAGCCAATGAAACTTGTTTCTTAGAAAATTTGTGGGGAAGCTTTCTTGAGTCAAAGCAGTAATGTTATATAGTTACCAAACGAACTAGAAGCGCCCTGGGCCTCATGAAAAGAAGTAGTGTGTGGAGCAGAGGCTTGGGGTCTCCTCCGCTTTGTGCTACCGGGCTTCACAGGAGTATTTGTTCCGGCGTGGGTACCACACTCTACGCACCTCCTAAGCAGAAGCTACCCACGGACAGGAAAGCCGAAGCCGAGAGAGGAAATGCCTATGGATACTCCCTCTCGAGAAAGAGCGCCTTCCTGCCCACAGCTGTAATCCCAGTTTGGGGGCTGAAGCAGGAAAGTTCAAGGCCAGCCTGGGCAACATAGCAAGACACCCCCTCAAAAAACAAATTTAGTGCTGGCGGGGCTGTTGGGGGGAAAAGAACCCTTCTCACTGTTGGTGAGAGTGTAGACTGGTGCAACCACTGTGGAAATCACTGTGGAGATTGCTCAATAAACTAGGACTACGCCAAGCATCGTGGTGCCTGCCGGTAATCCCAGCACTGGGGAGGCTGAGGCAGGAAGATTGATGCGAGTTCGAGGCCAGCCTGGGTACAAACTGAGTCCAAGGCCAGCCTGAACTGCAGAGTGAAACCCTGTCTCAAAAAAAAAAAAAAACCAAAAAACAAACAAACAGCTAGGACTAGAAGTTCCGTTTGACCTAGCTCTCCCTTTCTTGATATCTTCCCAAAAGAATTAAAAGTATCACACTACAGCAGTATAGGCACACCCATGTTTATAGCAACACAGTCTGTAATAGCCAAGTCTTGGAAACAGCCCAAGTGCCTGTCAACTGTTGAATGGATAAAGAAGATGTATTTTTTTATTTATACAATGGAGTACTACTCTGCCATAAAGAAGGATAAACTCCAGACATTTCTAGGAAAATGGGTTCACCTTGAGACCATACTCTTAAGTGAAATAAATCACACACACGTGTAAATACAGCATTGTTTCTCTAGTGTGAGAAACCGAAAGCATAAATAAGGACCAAAATGTTTACTAGGTATTGTGAAATAGGAAGAAAATGTTCAAATGGGGAGGGAAACGGGAAAGAAGAAAAAAGTGAAAAAAAAGAAGAGAAGAGAAGGGAAACATGGAAACAAAGCTTTATAAATGTGGAAGGGAGGACTTGAAGAGAGAGAGGGTAGGGGAATGGGGAAAAAGCTATATCACATACAGGTACAAACGCTCTATGATGAATGAGATCATTATGTACACCTAAAATGTATCAATAAAAATCTGATTTAAAGACCACTTGGGGTAATATCACAACTAATTTCAGTATTTGAAAGACTGAAGGCGCATTTATGTAACTCCTCACCTGAGTCTGCTGACTGCAAGGCCTGTGCTATTCTCGTTGATCCCCCTGCAGTGAGGGCAGGACTCAGAGTGAGATAAGAAAGAACTGCAATAATCAGAGCTGTCCCGATTGTACATCTGCAAATATATAGAGGCAGGATGATACCCATTTCAATGTGGGTGGGAGGTTAAGGTCTTTTAAACTCTAAGATTCTATACTTTGAGATACTACTTTTTTGGGGGAGACAGGATCTTGCTGTATAGTTCAGGCTGCCCTTGAACTCATTATGTAGCCCAGCCTGGCCTCAATCTCATGACAATCCTCCTGCCTCAGCCTCCTGAGTGCTGGGATTATAGGCCTGCACCACTAGAGGTGAGGATTAGTAAAACACCAGAGTTTTTGTTTAGAAGCCCAACTGTGCACATGGATTGAAATGGAGCTCACTGGGGCTGGTCACAAAAAGGCTAAATCTTCTTTGTTAAAAAAAAAAACCGTTCATGGTCAGACAAATTAAGAAATCCACATGGAGACCTGCTTTGATGTTCAAGCCCCTTGCAGTCAACATGGTCTAGGAAGGTTCTCAGAGTGGGATTTCAGAGATATGGCTCTTGGCTGTAGCTCCGCAGTCTGTGTGTGAGGCCCTCGCTCTGACCTGGGATCCCTAATCCCGGAGAGGTTAAAAAGAAAAAGAAAAAAGAGACCTGGCTCTAGTTTATCCATTCACCCGCTAATGAGATTACCCAGGCAATTAACCAAAGGAAGGAAAGGAGGAAAAGAGACGGGGTGGCGGGGTGGGTAATATGTATACCTGAGAGCCCCTTTCAGCACAGGTCGCTGCTCAGGAAAACACTGACTTGTGAGCACAGTTAGAGCTCACTTTAATGTAAAGGTGGACTTCCAGCGTGAGCGATCCCAGCTCCTGCTGGGTGGGATCTATCCCCTGCCCTCAGAGGACCCCTCCACTCCGTCCTGTCTTTGCACCTGAGCGCTGCCAGCTGCATCCAGCATCTCTCCTGGCTCCGCCTCCCATGCGGCCCTCCAGACCCCGTGCCTTTGTCCTGAGGCTCCAGACGTTCACCTGAGTCCATTCCTTGAGCTTCTGCCTCATCTGATAATTTTGTGTGTGTGTGTGTGTGTTTTTGAGACAGGGTCTTGCTACGCAGTTCAGGCTGGCCTTGAGCTTACTTTGTAGCCCAGGTTGGTCCCGAACTCACAACGATCCTCCTGCCTCAGCCTCCCGTGTGCTGGGATTATAGGCATGTGCCACCACACCTGGCTCTGATAATCTCTTGACCTCACTCCCATCACATTTCCCTGCTGCTGGGTCCTTCTGTGGCTCTTTATCCCCTTTGGCTTGGTTGAAATCCCTTTGCCTGGCCTTGGAGACCCACTGAACCTCATCAACCCGGTCTCCAGCTGTGTTTCCCCTGTGGCTCATCAGGCCGACCTGAGCCTGGCAGAGGCTCTTTTCTCACCTACATCTTCTCAGCGCACTCCTGCCTCTTGGCCTTGGCTGTGTCAGTCACGCTGTAGCCCCGGGAGGCTTTCCCTTTACCCTGCCTTACTCACCTTCCCAGGTTCAATTTAAATTGTACTTTAACAAAATCTTACCTGGAGTCTGGGAGTGTAATTCACTGGTACAGGCTTGCTGAGTATGCTCGAGGCCCTATCTTTGCTTGGCCAGCACTGGAGAAAAAGATTGCTTAGTAATTTACCATAGTCCAACCCCATTTTTCCTTCCTTCATGGGCAAGGCTTATTGTTTTTTTGTTTTTGTTTTTTGAGACAGGATCTCACCGTGTACTTCAGGCTGGCCTTGAACTCAACACAACCCTCCTGCTTCAGCCTCCTGAGTACTGGGATTGTAGGGTTTGCACCTCTATACCTTGCCTCTTTTTTGGGGGAGAAGGTATGGTTTTGGCAAAGTAGATATTGTTTTGTGAGCTACTTTTTTTTCTCAGCAGTTAATGACACTAAACTTACCATAGAACATGCAGGGGACAAATTGGCACTGAATTGTCATGTACTAATCATTTTCCCGTTTCACAGTAATAAATGACTTTCCTATCTCACTTACTAATAACTCAGCATTAGATAAGTGTTGGCCCCGGTGTGGCCAAGACAGTGCCAGAGCACGTTAGGGAGAGATTGGTGCGGTGACCCAGAGAACCCTCCAGAGCGGAGGCGGGGTGCTCCCGGGTCTGGAACAATGGGGAGAGGGCTGGGGAGGGCAGAGGAGGCATCCCTGGCAGCAAGGAGGCTGACCCAGGGCTCACAGTCTCCAGCATGGAGGCGCCCGGACATTCTTCCCTTTTCAGACTGGAGCACTGTGGAGCTGCTACAAGGGCAACACACCCGCCAGTGCTTTGACTTCTGGGGCAATGCCACTGAACTTCAGGACACCCAGGTTTCAGGCCACAGTAGTGTAAAATGGCAATCAGGAATAAACACAGGGCTGGGCGTGGTGGCGCATGCCTGTAATCCCAGCACTGAGGAGGCTGAGGCAGGAGGATCTCCGTGAGTTTAAAGCCAGCCTGGGCTACATAGTGAGTTTAAGACCAGCCTGAACTACTTAGTGAGACCCTGTCTAAAAAACAACAACAACAAAGAAGAAGTCAGCGGAGTTATGATGGCTGGCTGTGCCCTTTGCTGTGAGTCGTTCTGAAGTGAAGACCCACGGGTCACCACAGGGGGCAGGGGTGAGAGGAATGCAGCTCCGGCTCTCAGGCACTGCCGCACGGTAACAGAAAATGCCCCCAGTCAGTATTCTTCAGTTTCTCAGTTGCCCAGGTAACAACAGTTCCTGTTCCAGATCCGGTTGCTCTTGTCTCTAAGGAAAGGGCTGATTGCTGTGATGCCCTTTGGTAAGTCATTCTGCCTTGGTCCTTCCTGCCTGCTTAGCCCGTGTAAGCCCTAGACCACCAGGGATCAGGGCCGATATTCTGGGAATGATCCCGGTCAGGGCCCGTTGATGTGAATGAATCTGCCTCCGAATCCTGGGAGTCGTTTCTGTGTTGCTGTTTGCCGCTGTGGCATCAGAGCCGGACACACAGCTCCTGTGCTGCGTGGCAGGGCTCCGTCTCCTGCCCGCACGAGGCCCGTCTCGTCCTGGGCAGTGGCTGTGACCTTCGGCGCGTTCCGGGTCTGCGCCCCAGCACACTTGACATGACCTGGCTTTCTGCTGTTGGGGACCAGCTTGTAAGCTTTACCTTCCCTAGGCAACTGCAACCCACGCCGCTGCTCTGAGCGCACCAGGCTCCTCTCACCCACTGCCAGGGTGTGCGCTCGGTGTTTAACCCGGAGCAGGCTGGGGCCGGGAATATTCCACGCCTGCCTGTGCTTGTTTTCCTCAGCCTGTCACATCCCCCTTTCCTGCACCAGTAGAGTTCTCAAGACTCATGCGTAGCACAGTCCTTTCAGAAGCTTTGCCAAAAACATTGGGCCTGAGCTCTGCCCTCTCTCCCAGTACTCCAAAAGAGCGGCTCTGCTGTAG